GAATCTTATCTTGCTCATTTCTATCCCATTTGGATATATGTCCTGATTTGTACACTGCTTTTAAGTTTTTATAGATCTTGCTTGATGGGGATTCGTGCTCCGTGAATTAGCGTCAATTTGATCAGCTGCAGGTCAAAAAAGTTGAGATACTAGTTAGCTGGTGTCCTCTTTCTAAATCCTTAAAACACATGCTATTTGTTGGGAAGGATTCCTTGTGATTAGCCCATATAAGGCAATGAACGCATGCAATGAATATGCAGCTGCTTTAACCATACTAGTGTAGAAAAATCAGCGCATGGAGCTTATACATTTCACTCCCTGTAAGAATCTCATCATTGCTTTCTATATCAGGTTGCACGAGCGTCTCCAAGAGTGTAATGGTGATGAGGTTCTGAAAGCAGAGGCTGGTGCTAAGGTCCAAAAATTTTCTGAATGGGCATTGAAGTGTATTGGATTGCATTCTCGGTGCCAAGGAAATAGAGATAGGATCAACCACAGCTCAGCTGTTGAAATTCAACTCCAGCTCTCTGCATTTAAGACATTCCTGGATCTTGCTGGTAATCATCTTACAGGGAAGGACTTCACGGAGGCTTTTGACGCTGCTTGCTTTCCTCTTACTCTTTTCTCTAGTACATTTGATCCTGGTTGGGCATCTGGTATAGCTGCAACTGCCATCCAAGGGTTGCTGGGCATGCTTGTCGAGGGGGGTGCTGACAATGTTAACCAGTGTTTTCTTGAAGCATCACGGTTTGGAAGCACAGAACTTGTGCGCATTCTGTTACAGGTGATCTTTCTAACCTGTTTATTTTCTGAAAATTCTTTACTTTAGTTTGCATGTGCTCTTTGTGAAAATATTTTCATAGAACATCATTCCAGTTGTGTTCTGTATTTTCTATTTCCCTTGACTCGGGTTTCTTGTTGATGCTTCTCTTTCCAATGCATGAGAAGCAAATGTTTTTTCTCAATTGTAATTCTTATGCATCTTTCTCATGTACGAATTTTCTTTGTTGAATGTGCTGTATGGAGTACATTAGTTAAGTTTCATTTTCAGTTGTTGCTTGGTGGATGATTTCTATAAAAACAGAGATACATACTTCTCAGGCTTATCAATGACATTTCAGTGGCATGATTTGTGTGGTTAATATTAGTGTGCCCTGGTTCTTGTTCTGATCGCCTCCACAGAGTACTGCTCGATATGAAATTATTTTGGTGCGCTATGGAATCTGGGAATCCGCTTCTGATGCCTCAAACAAACTAGAATTTGTTTGGTTTCTTGCGTAAAAGTCCAATTAGAAGGTTGATTGGTAATCTGACTATTCAGGGTAAACCATCTTGCCACCATAAATTTTTTTTGGCCTAAATGACAATGTCCCTTAATTTGACTTTTTGGGCCGAGATAATTTTCATGGTTTTAAAATGCTGTCCCAAGCATCTGGGGGTTCACAGACCATCGTTTCAAACTAACACTGACACCTCCAACAAAAATAATACAAAACAGGCCCAAGCTGGCAGAGCCTGGTCAAAGTTTTTTTTTCTTTGCTGAGCAAGATAAGTCTTGTTAAAGGCGAGAACCTTTATTCAACTCAGAGGATGCCGCCTGAGACATTTTTATCGTTTGACCATTTGTGGACTCAGATAGTCATAATATGTTCCTTTTGCTTCAACGGCTGGATAGAGGATTGAAGCTGACAAACCTATGTGAAACAAGGATAACTATTTACTGATATCCTTTCTCCAAATGAACATTTGTTACATTTATGACATGGATCTGTCAGCGTGTGCATGCACTTATTTCTTTTTCCTTCCTTTTGCCAAGTTCTTGAATTTTAGGTACCAGTTTAGATGAATTAGTTGCTTCCGAAGTATAGAAAAGGACAAGATAGATAGCTAGCTACATGCCCTAGTGCAAGATTCGAAGTATAGTCTAAATAACTTAATGGTATCCTTCAATTAAACATAGAAATTCGGATTGATATTTTTGGTAGATCAGTGTAACGTGAATGATGCATGAGATAGTGGCATATATTCTGGTGAAAATGGAAGTGAACAGGCAATTAAATAACTGAAAATATGAAGCGTGTCTTTGGATTTCTTTTATGATTTGGACTGTTCTTCAATGAGGTACAATATGGAAGTAGATGGTTGGTTTGTAGCTGTTGCCAATAACTGAATATATGAATTCTCTTGTTAATGCTTTGCTGGACGTGGTTCAGAGCTTGAGCTTTGTTTATATGTATGCTTGTATGCCTGCTTTCTTGACTACTAGCCACGGGTTTTTTTAGAATATTCATGTTGAAGAGTACCTTTGTTCATTACTATAGTTTTACAGTAGTTTTTTTTTTTTTTGATAAACTTACAGATTATTTGGTTTGTTCTGTCAGATTGCTCAGAGGAACAGCTTGGATGTTGATGTCGACTTGGCTTTGGGTTTTGCTTCTCACTATTGCAAGATTGGGACAATGGAGTGTCTAGTTGAAGAGGGGAATGCAATGGCTTTCTTGGGTCCTTTGTTGAGGGCAGCGGAGAGGGGTTGTTTGGAGGTTGTGCAGTGGTTTGTGAGGAGGCGCTGTCGAGATATGGAGCTTTGCCTTGCCCTAACTGCTGCAACAGCTAGCAGCCAAGTGGAAGTCGCTGCGTATCTCCTCCCTCATGTTCCTCAACCCAACCTCACTGCTCTCAGTGTTGAAATTCTTAAAGCCGCCGGTGAACGAAGTGGTGGTTCTCTGGATGGTGTAGCTTTTCTAATGCGATCGGATTTTCTTGGGGATCCGGTTGCAACTTATGCTGTCGCTGACAGCATTGCTAGGTCAGAAGATGAGTCGATAGATCCTTTACTGCGGGCTTTTCTTCAAGAGCACTGGTCAGAGGCAGCTTTTGTTGATGGGCTGAGGCAAGGCCAAATACATTACATGAATTTCATGCGGATACTGAAGCGGGGTGAGTCTCCATTATGCTTGACAGATATTCCTGGACCTCTGAGGGCCGCGATCGCCTATCTGCCATTGTACAGAGAGTGCACTGAGGCAGGTGGCTCCTTGCTGTCCCAAAGACTCAGGGGACAGCTTGTTGAGGCCGTGAGAAGGCTCGAGAATGCAGCCTTAGAGCCAGTACGCCCTTGCAGAGAGCTCTTATCTATTTTGGAGCATCACCTTCCTCGATTTTTGCTCAGTGCTCCGAATGTTGCCTAGCAAGAGTTTTCCTTGCGGCACCCTTTTTTCTCCGTGCTTTTACTTCTCTCTATCCCTCTATATTTCCTACAAATCACTGATAATAATCGCATGAAAGCGGGTTGAAGGTGAGAAAGATCTTCGAAGGTAGATGAGATTTTCGTTGAAGTGTCGCCTTGCTGGCTAAAGCTGTAGTGCCTCTCGGCTTATCTGCCGCATCATCCTCGTGTGCCACCGTATGAAGAGTATGGGTATTGATCTAAATATGTAAGAAGACAGAACAAACTTGGATGTGCATAGTTTGTTGGCAAGCTCCTTAGTTTTATTGTAACACCCGTGGCCGACTTCTTACTTCCTATGATCCCTTTTTGGTCGGGTCATGTGGCTTCTCTCGGGGGTAAAGAAGGGTGGGTACCGATCTTATATACGTCTTAAAAGATGCTTCAATGGCTGTGGAAAGCGACTTGCATACTGTAATGCTATGTTGGTCTAGTTAATGCTTCCTCGCAATCTTTTTACAGCTAGTGCTTGATCGGCTCAAAACACGTACAAGCTTGAAAAGACTTTTGTTTGGTAATCCAAACATCATTGCTTCCATTTAGAATGGAAACAAAGGACATTATCATAAGTTTTGGTCCTTGTGATTGAAAACGCGGAAAAATGATACTTTTTTACGGTCCCGTCGTCGAAACAACCAACTGGAGAAAACTCTTCAGCGACTGTTGCTGTGCTTTTGTCCGGTTTAGCTGAGGGTCCAGAGACTCATTGTGCTCCGGTGATGCGGCGCATCTCGCCGCCAACCTTAGGCAAAAATTGGTGGCGAGTTAAGACACTCACCGCCATGACTCGGCGAGGGGTGGCGTCCCTCGCCGAGATCATGGCACTTGTGACTGCCCTTTCCTGAGCATGGCGAGAGTCCCGACGAGGGTCTGGTGACCGTTGCTGATGGTTTTGTGATGGCCCATGTGGCCTCTCTGTCTTTCTCTCTCTCCCTCACTCTCCCCCTCCAGTTCTTTTCTTTGGGTTTTCTGAAAATTTTTCACTTCCGCCTCATCGTTTTGAATCCAGTACGCATCGGGATCGTCATTCCTAATCTAATTTCAAGGACCGATATGAACCTAAAGGCCACAGTTTAGGTTCTCGATTGGCTAAAATAAGTTTTGAGGAGTAGATTAAACATTCGAAAAAGGTCTATACGGAACTATCGAAACCATGGATGGGACCCCACATGCTATATCATTTTCGGTAAGCAGAACTCCTATGAGTCCAATCTATAGATTACATATCTACATCTAACCACATGCGCGGTCGTGCATCCGAAACCTTGGCAACGTTAGGACTCAAGATTGGTCATTTACAAGTTCAGGTACCTTTGGTTCTTCCTTTACTGGGTTTAATTAGCTTTCAAGGACATTGATTAGTGCCATTGTTTGTGGCGAGTGCACCAAACTTATAGGCATTTGGCACTTCTCTCAGTGCCAATGGCACAAAACTAGTAATCTATTATTACATCCTTGATTACCTCGACCGGACAATAAGATTGTCAAATACACGATGCAAATCGTTTTCACTTGATAGATTCCACCATTATACGCCCAGTGGCAACACGTCAATTCCACAATTCCCAATAGACAAAGATATATCCTGGCAAAGTTATAGATTTCATTTCAAGTTCCTGACAGAGCAAGTGTTGACCAGATACGCAAAGGATAACAATGGCATGTACAGGTCGCGGCATGCACAATTTAACCGATGTCTCATGACCGCAATTTATGAGAATTCGATGTTAAAGAGCATCTCAACTGAGGTATCGAAGTACCAATGAAGGAAACGTTTGAAAATCCTCTTTCTTCTTTCTCCTCTTTGAACACCGGAAGATCGGGTTTACAAGAATGGTATGATCGACTCACGAAATGAAACACACACTCTTTACATATATGCGTACGTCAAGTCCCTCACATTGGAAGGCATAAAGGCCAGTATCACGAGCACAACCAGAATGCCGATGGGAAGCAAAAGCAACATGAATGGGGGAGGCGGCAATGGCGGGAGTATCAACGGTAGTATGAGCAATGACACCGTCAGGCATATCAACACGTACAACGACTGTAAGCTGAAATATCCTGAAGCCGGCAACAGTCTCTTGGCACTTCTCTGCCGATTGTACTCCATCTTCTTTCCCTCAGCCAACCATCTCGGTTCTGACCCCATTTTCCTGCTGTATTCTATGTTCTTGTCAACTGGTCTTCTCACTCTCCTATCCATTATGAAACCCAGATTTATGATTCCCTGTCTCTGTCTCGGATCTGCTTGATCAAGTTCGGAACTCATCTACAATTATGAGTGCTGCTGCACGGCAGATGGGGCCAATGCTTATCTGACTGCCAACCAAATGAACCAAAGGAGGGCGGACGACGCAAGTGCTTAACGTTCGATCAATTCCCTTCTCTCAGTATCCTCACTGAGGATGTTTAGGTAGTAACACCAGGCCGATATGTGCTAATTACAACTCTGAGATGCTGAAAGAACAAGCAAGACGTCTCCCGAAACTCAAGTGCATCTGGTGAATTCTCTGAACTCCATCGTCTTGTACATCCACTTGCCCCCTAAAGTTCAGATTGAAAGCCGCGAACGTCGTTCCCAACGATCCAGCTGCAATACGACGGTGAAGCAACAAGATCAATGCAGAGAAAGCACCTCCCTTGCAATCACATTTCATCCTAGTCAATTCAACAATGTCTCCTCCACCACACAATCCACACATATACCAAAACACAATGTCCCCAACTCAAAAGCAAAGAGAGCTCACAGGATCCAAGCATCTCTCTCTCTCTCTCTCTCTCTCTCTCTAAAAGGTTTCTTTTTCCTTCCAAAGATCTAAACTTTAAACAACGCTATGAAAAAATGAGTTCTAACGGACAATCAGAACAAGCCCACGAATACTAAAACACCTCCAAACGGCCACAAACTAAACCCAACACAATCAACCAAACAGACGGGGAACCAAGCTAAAGACGGGTACCTGTGATACCGAATGAGATGGCAGCGATTGTTATGTGGAGATCTCAAACCATCCGGACAAGAACAAGGAGAAGACGGCAGACAGATTCGGCCAGGGGCACATCTTCGCATCTCAGCCCCTCCGGGCGCCCCTCGCTCTCTTCCAAATTCTTCAACTTTCGTCTCGTTCTCTACTCAACTCCACAGAATCCCAAAGACCCAGAAACGGGGGAAGGCGCAAGTGCTGCGGAACGGGCTGCGCTCGGTAAAAAATAGCCAAGAAAAAGAGAGGGAGAGGGAGGTGAAAAGAACGGCATGTGCGTGATGCTCCGCCTTTCCTGAGGGGGAAGGGGCGGGCGATGGGGATGGATGGATGAATGAATGAAGGAACGAAGATTTAAGTGCAGTGTATTTGATTGAATTGATGAAACGTAATTATTGTGAAATTGAACTGAATTGAATTATAGAAAAACAAAAGTAGGAAAGAGAGGAGAAGGAAGCAGAAGGCAAGAAGAAGGAAGAGAGAGAATGAGACACGAAGATGGGTCTGGTTCAGTGAACGGCAAAGTCAAGTGGGGTGATACGAAAGTTGCTTGTTCTGGAATACATTTCACATCTCTCTCCCTCTGCCTCTGCCTCCCAACCCAAGGTTCTTCTCCCCTGGACTCCCTCTCTCCCTGTCTCTGTCCCCACCCTCTTTTTCTCTCTTTTGTTAGCAAAACTACCGCGGTTTGCCACCCTTCCTAGGGGCGTTCAAGGAAACTGAAACCCCCCACCCGGAAATCGGCAGTTTCCGTGAGGATTAATCCGGTTTTCGGTTCCAATTTATTAGAACCCGTGAGTACCCGTCCAGTTTTCGATTCTGGGCATGGAACCGCCCACTTGCTCACCCAGACCGGATCGATAATATACATAATTTCTCGAAAAAAATTTCGACCCAAAAAAAAAAGAGAGAAAATATTTTAAGAAAAATGAAAACCCTAAAATCCCTAATCTAAAGCTTTAACGCCCATCAACTGAATGTTCGTCTCGTCTCGTCTTGTCTCACTCTCACTTTGTCTGAATCGTTTCTCTATATCTCATTCATTGTATCGACTCTTAAGCTCATTGTCTACTGACTCATGGCTTCGACTCTCAACTCCCGTCAACTCACGGTCGCACCTCCGACCATTCATCGGCTCCATCTCTCGCTCTCGGTCATCTCCATTTACGTGAAATTTGATGGGACCGGTTCCATGGACCCATCAGTGAATCGGACCGGATCGCGATTTGGTTCCCCGGTGGATTCGTGGAACCGATGAGCGGTTCTCAGTTTCAATTTTTCGGAATCAATCTTTAGTGGGCAGTTTCCCGGTTCCATGATAGAAACCGTCCACCCAAACCATATTCACCTCTAACCCTTCCTATTTGGGAAAGGAAAGGTCTTTTCAGGGGGCTAAGGGTGGAGATATTTAGTTTCAGACGTGGATTTCGATTCCGACGTTTTACAAAGAGACATGACAAAAGTCTAGAGTAAGTTAAGAATTAGAACAGATAAAATAATAATTATAGCATTATTTTATTTATATCATAAGTCGATATATTGAGTTTTGTTAAATTATACTATTCTCTTTTCCTTTTCTTTTTCTTTTTACATTTTCCCCTCTCTCTTCTTTTTTCTTCCTTCTCCTCCCGAGCACCTCCTCCCCCGTTTGTGCATCGCCGCAGTCGCCACTGCCAATCGGTGACGTCCCTCATCTCCTGCCAGCCATCGAGTCTGATTGGCGCGCCCCTCTTGGCCTTATTTGCAGTTGCGATCTCATATTAAAGTCATCAATTTCAGGCGACCCAGATCGAAGGTTGCTCAAGACCGATCGACTTTTGAGGTGTGATGTTGAGCACCTCCGAAAGGTGCAATCAATTCACAGGTGCTCACCATCACACCTCGGTTCATTTATATAATATAATATAATATAATATATATATATATTTAAAAAAAAGGAGGAATTATGATTGGTTGGATATGCGTTTGATTTTTTTTTTCTCGATTTTTCCATAAAGTTGCGTAAAACGAGGGAATGTGGCTCAACTTGGACCATTTTATTTGATCGTTCATGTGTCTGAGTATTTAAAAGCAGTAAATTTAAGATGTGAGTAAATCTCCTAATTTTTTTTTTTACAAAAAAATTTCCTAAATTTAGAGGATCTGTAACCTTGATACCAACTTGATTATTAGCATGCATTGAGAAAATGTGAAAGGGTTGAATTCGATGTGTTAATAATTGTCCTGGTTAGGTGGGCCAGGCTTGCAGTTTATAACGTCTTTACTTATATGTACTCACATCTTGTAGTTTACCGCTACTACTTTTCCAGTTCTTATAATCACATTAAAGAAAAAAAAATCTAACTGATTATTTAACAAGTAAGCGCGTTTATTTAAGCAACCTCGGATGATGCTACTCTAGAGGCATTTGTCTTTGTGCTCCAGTGATTACACAATTTTAGAGGTCAAATTTTGAAAAAGAAGAAGAAGATAAACATAATTTGTCACTTTGGAGATGAGAATGCTTACAATTGTAAAGTTTTTTGTCAATCTCAAATTCGTCGATTTGGAACACGAATTCGAACATTTCTGGGTTTCGCCATCCTCGTGAATTTCTAGGCAATTGGAACAAAGTTTGAGTGGTCTTTCGTTCTTAGATTTCCAACTAAAAACTTTTGCCAAAGAAGATCCGACAGAGAATGTTAGAATAGAGGGTAAAATCAAGAGAAGTTGCGGTGGCAGAAAAGAAACAGGAAGAGGAGGTGGAGATGGACTGATAAGCATCCCATCTTTGATGGGAGAAGAAGATCAAGGGTAACATTGAAAAAAGAAGAGGGAAAATTCCCGAAATCATCTCGAAGATGTACCGTTTCTTAAAGTTTAACCTCAGAAGTTAGATTTTGTTTCAAAATAGCCTATAAATCTATTCAATTTGATCTGATAATCCCCTGAAGTAGCGTTCGTTTCTCAAAGTTTTTGCCAAGACTTGACTTTGTTCCAAAATACTCGTGAACTTGATCACTTTGACTTGCTAACTCCTCAAGCTCATCGGCATAGAAAGATAGTGACAGGCTAATGAGCAAGCAGGTGCATGTTTCGCGCCTTTTCCAGAGGCATTTTAGTTTGGAAGAAAAGAAAACTGCAGTCCTCTCGTGCCACGCACATGCACATAAAAAAACTCAAAAGAGTGTCAAATTTGATCCGCATATATAAATGAAGAAGAAAGTGCTAGGGTTTCTCGAGCATTGATCGGAATATTGGAGATGGATGATCGCTGCCAAATGTGGGAGGAGAGTTGTAATGCGAATGTCGTGTTGTGGACTCGACTCAACCCAGATAGGCGCTTTGTACGTGTGAGAAATACGGGGTAAAGTCAATTGAGGGTTTTTTGATTTCGATTTTGTAGGTTGCGATAGTTCTTGGACCAAAATATCCTTGGGAAAGGTGCGGAATGAGCACGTGACCAGCACATGTTCGTCGGCCAACCGTTATTTTCACCTGTAATGAACTATTGGATCAAAATGATCAAGCTCAAGAGGATGATTGGATATCAAAATGATCAAGTTCAGAGAGTATTATCAGAATAAAATCAAATTTAATGGAAATTTTCAAAACCGATGTTGCTTAGTAATTCCAAAATCCCTAAAGAGGACGTGTAGCACTGCTTTGGATCGTGATGAATACGCCCTCTTGCGTCATGTTCTTACTTGGATGATTTGATCTCTCGAAGTGTTTATTTTTATTTTTGGCAATCTTGACCCAACCCTTTGAGTGAATTTGAATCCACAAGGCAATCGACCTGGTTGGAATTGCTTCTACTCGACACAAGAACAAAAATCTGGTGTGACTAATATTTTTTTTTTGGTAAGGTAAGTGTGACTAATATTTAGTTCTCCTAAAGATTGTTTTACATATCAGGGACCAATTCGTAGTTTACAAACTACCTATTTATTTTACGATGATAATCTTAACGATTACCTAAAGGAAAATTTACAGTATTCAATACACTTATTTTCTTGCGTGACATGGGCAATCATGTTTTAAGAATCGAACTATTCTATACACATATTAAGCACCCTAAACACGTTCCTCGAAAGAGAATCAAACAAACAATATTAAAAAGTTGGGTATTTCCTAAATTAAACAGCTGTAGCATGTGGCGCATGACCACAAAGTGGACCCATGAATAAATTGAAAATCATACGAGACAAAGGACGTGAAAATGGGGGCCATTTCATTAGCTGTGGACCAGCTCCTCCTCATCTAATTTGCTCCTGGAAGAATATAAAAAGGAAAAATTGAAAAAAAAGGAGAAAAAGAAAAACAAGAGCACTAGCAAAATTCCTCGTACAAAACTATCTTTTACACAATTAATTATTAATGCAACTTGTCTAGGGTTTGAAGTTTGAACTACAATTCTTTGATGATATATAAGTGCTCTGAGTGCCTGCAAAGACTTTGGCTTATGAATTGAATGCATCCACGCTATTCATTTTGTAACCTGCGCATTCATATAACATGTTAGGTAGTATCTTATTCATCAATAATCTCAAGTGTCATGCTAGACGTGGTATCACCAAATATTTCACTAAATTAATCATGAATACTAAAGTTTCGTAGTTCGAAACTTGAGTAGTTACAGATTGTTGTACAAGTACCGTTGAGATAGGACCGATTGATTGATAAGATATCAACCCGACACAAAGCATTAAGCATCATCCATGCATGAGATGCTTTTCTTTTGTCATTAAATGCATGAGATACCTTGCTTATGTTCCTTCGCGAAATGGTATGTTCACAATTCTTTTACCTTCTTGGGTTTTTAAATACATTAAGTCTTCTGATAAACATGGTGGAAACTCATATAACATGTTAGATAGTACATTATTCATTGATAAATATCAAGTGTCATGCTAGATGTGATATCACCAAACATTTCAGTAAACTAATCATGGATACTGAATTTTCATAGTTTGAAACTCTGATAGTCACAGATGGATGTGCACTTAGAATTAAGATAGAACCGATTGGATGATAAAACATCAACCCGACACAAAGGAATAAGCATCATCGTGCATCAGATACTTTTCTTCTGCCATTGAATGCATGAGATACCTTGTTTGTGTTTATTCGCGGAATGGTTGATTCACGATTCTTTTTTCTTATTGGGTTTTGAATAGATGCTACCTTTTGGCATACATGATGCACACTCATATAACATGTCAGATAGTATCTTATTCATCGGTAATGTCAAGTGTCATGCTAGATGTGATATCACCAAACATTTCACTAAACTAATCATGGTTACTAAATTTTCTTAGTTCGCAACTCTGATAGTCACAGATGGATGTGCAATTAGAATTAAGATAGGACCAACTAGATGATAAAACATTAACCCGACACAAGGAAATAAGCATCATCGTGCATCGGATACTTTTCTTCTGCCATTGAATGCATGAGCTACCTCGCTTGTGTTCATTCGCGGAATGGTTGATTCACGATTCTTTTTCCTTATTGGGTTTTTGAATAGATGCTACCTTCTAACATACTCGATGCACACTCATATAACATGTTAGATAGTATCTTA